ATGAGCAACTGTTCATCGTTAGTTGCAAGCGACGGTACAAACATTTTTCCGACTGTGACCGAATGTGCAACGATATATTTTTCAAAGTTGTTGTCAATTCCTAAAATTTGTTTATAGTAAAACGGCCTGCTCAGCACTCACTACTCACGATGATTTCATTTAGAAATGCAGTTACCAGGAAAGGAACTGATTCTAAAATATGTAAATTTAAAAGCATTGGCTAACAGAATAAAGCGATGTGAAGACAAGGTACAAACTTTTATAGTTGCTATTTGTTATAAAATCCTATAAATAAACCGATTCAACAATAATATTGCCTCGAATTTGCATATTCTATGCCGCATGTTTATATTTTATTTTTATAGTATAAAAATAAAATTGTAATACTATGAAATAAAATACATTTCTATTTATTGACCAGTACTTATTTAATGTCTTCTTCATCCAGTGGTCAGAGTAAATTTCTACTTCTAGCAAGTAAATATTTGACAAGCAGTCTGGAATAAGCACAGGAATAAGCACAATGAGCCATTTTATAGTAGCAATATGAAAAGTTTTTTTCTTTTTCCATGACTTTTAATGCATCAGCCAAATCCAAGTGTGCCCATCCCCCTCGCCCAGCCATTTTCCTGTAAAGCACATCCCGGGGGTTGGGTATTTCCACTCGAACCTTAGCCCCGGCGGGGCATTTGAAATTAATAATTTCGATTCTTGCACTTCACTTGGTGGAATTAATATTAGAATGTTAGGGTTTGTAATCCAAGTGAGAATATATACATGTATATATTTTGTAATCCAAGTGAGAATATTTTGTAATCCAAGTGAGAATATACAAATGTATAGTACATGTATATATTTTGTGTATATATTTTGTAATCCAAATGAGAATAGTTTGTAATCCAAGTGAGAATATACAAATGTATATATTCTCACTTGGATTACAAACCCTAACATTCTAATATTAATTCCACCAAGTGAAGTGCAAGAATCCAAATTATTGAAGTCCACCTTATCACAACCCGCACACCCGATTACCTAAATATACATGAACTTACGGTTAAAGCTCAACAGCTGGACTCTATAGCTCAGTTGGTTAGAGCGCTGCACCGGAATCGCAGGGCCGTAGGTTCAATTCGTACCAGAGGACCTTGTGCTGCATTTTTTGCAGTCGTTCCTGGTTAGGTCTTAAAATGTATATAATTCTCACTTGGATTACAAACCCTAACATTCTAACATTTGAAATTAAGGATTTGGAGGTTTTGCGATCACTGATAACTTGATAATAATATAAAACAAAACACTTCTATCTGCAACTTTTACTATCACTGATAACTTGATAATAATTTAAACCAGTCAAGTTGTAGTTTAAATAGAGAATAATACATGGGTGCACGAAATACCAGATTTATTTCGAGTGTTGAACATGAGTGCGGAGCGAACAAGTGAGCGCATCGAACGAGTGAGATGTCATGTTCAACACGAAAAATAAATCTGGTATTTCCAACCACCCATGTATTTTTCTGTTTATTATATAAAGGACAGTCTTTGAAAAGCGATAATTTTTACAGAAAAGCGATAATTGAAAAGGCGATAATTTTCACATGTGAGATTGTCATGAATAATTTCACATGTGAGATTATCATTTTTATCAGTGCTCGAAATCTCTTTAAAATACTCATTAATAATTCATAAACCTTGTGGCAAACATGTCAGCCATAATATGTCACGTGGAGTGACTTTATATCTGATAAAACACATGTGGCATTATATAATTGTTCATCTTAATTAGCATGATTATACTATGGTTCATCCTAATTAGTAGTCTTTTGTAGTCGTATTTTAAGCTATTCAAAACACTCGTTGTCGTGTTTTATCAGATATATAACGCTCGGCTGCACTCCTACTCGTGTTTTAAATAGTACATAAAACACTATACTTTATATGATAAAAATTCATAAATTTGAACCACGCTAGACCATGACAACAGCAAAATGCTCTATAGTATGATGCACAAAATTTTGGGAGATGAAATACACGAACAATAAATCAGAGAGTGTTTGCGTGAATGCGTGAAACTCACTGGTGGGGGGGGGTGCAACACCCCTGATAATTGCTCATGAGGAATTTCAGGTAGATTTCCAGTGCACTTTTAGGTAAATTTAAGTAGATTTGCAGAAGATTTTCAGGGGAATTCAGGTAATTCTCAGGACATGAGAAAGTGAATTTGGAAAACAACTGTATTTTCGGAAAAATTATTATATGTCCTGAAAATTTTTTGTACATCTGGAAACATTTTGGTAACCACCCCCCCCCTCTATCTAACCTCACACACACCCTGAGACGAAGTGCTAGCAACGGCACTGAGTATACATCTTTTGAAAACAGGCGAGGGGTTATTGCATGCATGTATTTCTAGTAGTATGTGTAATTACTCTGGGCAGGTTGTTCAAATTAAGCTAGACTATAGTGTTAAACCTGGGTTAAAAGTTAACCTGCTGTTTTAGTTTGTGTATTTCTACACGTCTGTTTATTTCAAAAACTTCAGAGAAGAAAACTCCTATCGATCCAGATAATTAGATCTCTGAAGAAATATTTCCAAATTTATAGACAAGCTCTCAGGACGTGTGCTTTGAATTAACCTAGGGTAAACTAATCCAGCTTTCAAAAACTGGCCCCTGGTCAAAGATTGATTGTGCAGTCTTAAATGTATCTATATGTATGACCTATAATTATATATCTATTATAAATACATTTAATATTCTGATAGTATTTCTTTGTATTAAATTATATGGCTTCATGTGAACATGACAGGAAATATTTTAATTTTATGGAAGAAACAAATCTCAGTTGGTGGTAGTTATGTGACATATCTGCTTGGTAGATAATATACAGATAATTTTATCTGTAGGGAAACTATACTGTCACATAAACTGTGACAGATATGTTATTGGGCCAAATTCCTATATGTTGCACAATAAACAAATATCCCTGTGGTGCCTCAAAATAACATACTTATTTTTCACATTGCGAGGTCATGTTAATGAGTCAGAATAGAAATAATTCTCAATGCAAACAGGGTGAAAAATAAGTGACAGATATCTGTCACATAACTGTGTGAAACATTTCTTAGGTCAGTATTTCCTGAATCCTTATGCTTTTGGTTTGGCCTCTTTTAAGGATATGTTACTGGGGAGGATTTAGCAGGGGACCTGGAGAAGTTCCAGGTGGCAAGTCTGTATCACTGCAGCTACCAGCATATATATACATGGTTTAAGTAATACATCATAGGTGAAGTATACATCATAGGTCAGCAGATCAGGCCGTAACTAGGATTCTGAGACAACTGAGTTGACCACCCAAGTTACAAGCTTCTAGAGGGGTCTGGGGGATTTCTGAATTTCTTGAAGCTCAGATAAGCTATTTCCCGCATTTTGAGGAGTTTTCCAACAAGAAATTAACCCTATAAACAGTGACACAATTACTGCAATTTCACAGTCTCCCAAATGTAATCCAGTCCCAATAAGGGCAACATGGTGTGATGATGCGGTAATTAAAATGTGTGTGGTATAGTATTATCATTTACCACACTTCAAATTCTACAGTACTTTATTACATGTATTGGGGTACTTGAAATCAAGACATTCGTGTTCTCAGTGTCACTGAATTGGGTGGTCTCTTTGGAGTATGTTTGCTTGGAAAACTAAAATAGAATTTCGTCCTAAAATGCCATTTCATGCCTTGTTCCACAAGCAAATTATTTCAGTCATGGTTTAGGTTTCTGGCAATGTTTAAATTCAGTCCCCAAATTCTGGCCTACTGAGTCAACTGACTTGGTGGACTCGTAGCTAGTTACGAGCTTGTAGATGATTGTCAAATTCAGAGATGTTAACAACTTAACATCGTTTTCTCACTTTGATACATTATTGCTGGTTGACCACCTACTGCAGGTAGTTCTTACGGACCTCACTTGGGGGGGGGGGGCAAAATTGCCGACTGGAGGGACCAGTAAGAGCGCTGGGGGGGTCATGTCCTCCCCAGTCTATATGTTAAAAGATGCCCTAAATTAAATACAGAAAGGTCTTTCTTTGCATGAACTTCCATGCATACCACATTATGCAGTATCTTTCTCATAATTAGAGACCTTTAGTTTGACATTTACACCTAACGCCAAACCGCTAACAATGATTGTGATTTAACTACGCTCTTGTAGAAATTACACTAATTTTGTTACATAATAAACATCCTACACAAAGCTTGTGACATTTAGCAATAATGATTATCAGAAAATTAGTTAGCCACTGCTAACATATCAGCCAAGACAGTAAATTCAGCTTTTAAGTTTGAGGTTAACATTTGCGGTATAAATTTTACACATGGATCCTGATACGTTTTATTTCTATTTTTATAATATGAATTTTAATACACATGCCCTTGAAAAAATTTCTGCATATTTTTACATGGCTCACACTTATGATTGCACTTAACTTTCTATGACCCACCCCTTCAACCGTGCTCAAAAATAGTGAACCACCCCCCTATTTTTCCCAGCCCACCCACCTTTTACTTTATGACCAGTCTCTAACGATGGCTCCTCCCTTATCTGCTGATTTAACAATCAAATCAGTATGGCTAGCTTATTGCTGATCTTTAGATATATTTGGTTTTGCATGTTCTTTGTGTTTCTCATATTCTGTTTTGAGGTCATGGTATAAATGCAAGGGTGGAAAATATAAGTGGACCATGAGAAAATTTTTTATGCTGGCAGAAAGAAAAAAGGGAAGGAAGAAAAAGGGGAAAGAAAAGAAGGAAAAGGAAAGAAAAAGAATAGAAAGAGAGAGGAACTGCACCAATAAATAAGTAGCCATTTTGTTCAGGGACAGATACTAGTCGTAGGGGTGCTCCCAAAATATTTTCCGAAAGAACTTTGTTAGCAGAATGTAGCCTCATTTACAGGCAACCTTGTTCTAGCCCTTTGGCCGTTTGTTGGCTTTGTATCGTACCACTGCCCTGGTTCCAAAATTTTCTATCTGATTCGATTAATGTTCTCAACAAATTTGTCATGTATCTCATCACCTTCTACAATTTGTAAGGTCACATTTGTTTTACGTTTTCGTCAAGTTGGTCAGTTTGTACACTACAATTACCAACAAAAATAGCACCTACCTCTTGTACACCTTCCACGGCTGACACACTGTTCGTCATTGGCCCACTGGCAACCCAACCTAGAGAAGTTTCTAGAGCTACTGGTTTGTCTATGGTACCTATTAAAATAGCTATCTCCAGCTCCTCTTCTGAGAAACATCTGAAAACCCTATGTTGGCCAAATGTAGGTAATCACGCAATTTCTCAATGCTCATTGTGGACCTGCAAAATTTCAGGAACTTGAAATTTTACCTCCCCCCACAGGAACTAGGTCAACATGAACCACTTCTTTAAGGTTAGAGCCTACAGCCTTTTGGCCAAAGGTGTTTAATGCTACCCATTCCTTTCCTGTCGTAATCCCAGCGATGTCATAATCCCTGCCCGTGCACTCTACGCTTACTTTCACCTAGTGCATGCGTCTGTAAGACGACCCTAGTACTTGTTGCTACATGATTATTAACTACATTTACTTTATTTTCACCGTCATCTACAGGGCTATTCCCATTTATGTCCACACTACACAATGCTTTGTGATGCATGCCTTTACATGCATGGCACTTAATTGTAATCTCCTTTTCTTAAACAGTTATAGCTTCTATCATATTTACCTAGAAGTTTTTTGTGTTCATTAATGTCTGTTACCTTGCAGTCTTCGTGTCGATGTCCTGGGCAGTTACAGAAAGCACATTTTGATTGCCTTCCAGCGAACATTGTACTCCAATTATGATGATTAGTCCCGTTCTTTTGTTGCCGTTCCTCCCTGTCTGGCTTTCGTTGATACCCTTGTAAAGCTATTTCGCCACCAAGTACATCCAAAAAACTCTTCCATATTCCATTCGTGATGCTCTTCTTGTCATTGTTATCCTCAGCGAGTGTGGCAATTTCTCCAACAATGATGGAACAACAAACATAGTGTATGTTCCTTGGTCTAAGGCATCTAGAGATCTAAATTTACTCTCAACAAAGTCATACATTTTGCACAGTTTTATGGTATCTCTTTTGTTGTACACATGTTCAATGTTAATCAGTTCGTTTACATATGTGTGTTGTATTAAAATCTTTTTACCATAACACTTTGTCAAAAGGTCGACTGCTGCTTTATAATTATCTGCGGTAAGGGCAAATCCTTGGACAGTCGATCGTGCAGGTGCTAACAACAAGCCACGTAAGTAGGAACACTTGTCTACCTCACTTAACTGAGTATTCCCGTCCCAGAATTCCTGCCATTCGTGAACCTTTATTGAAAACGTAGGTACTTTGAGTCTGGGTAACTGTACTTGTTTCGTATTCACTGTCGCCGTCGCACTACTAGAACTCTGGGGAGTGGACGACATACTGGGGAGTGGACGACATACTGGGCAAGGACCCTTCGAAAAAAATTAGTGTTTGTACCTCAGCCTTTATATTTTCCGATTCTTCTATTTCACCATCAATTTCTTCCTCGATATTCTTATCACCACAAAGTATATTTAATATCTCATCATCGAGTTCTTTTAACATTCTTAGTTTGTCCGTGAACGCAATCTTTTTCTCTTCCAACACTAGTTTTGCTTCTGCCGTCACTTCGTATGATGCTTTCAGTTCTTTGGTCATTCTAATAAGTTTCTTTACATAGCTGCAATTCCCTCTGCACACTTTTCGTTTCTTCACCAACTCAGTCATTTTGCATTTCTTTCAATCCGGCTCAATGACCAGGTTTTGCAAACTTTACCCACAGTCTACACCATCAAGAAAGTTTGCACACGCTGGTTCCCAATTCCTTCGATCAAGGGACTGTATCAGTTATATATTTTCTTTATTATAATTTTGTTACAACATTTGAACAATTCTCTAAATACAGCAATTCCAGTTCAATCTCGATTCAATCTTGGTTCCAACTTCTCCCTTCCAACCTCCCACTCTTACAATTTACAACTCTATTTATAATATTAGCTAAGTTCTTTGAGCCAAAGCATTGACGTGTGCATTCCTGAGGTTTCCGCGCTTGGCAGCCAAAAGGCGGGGTTTGTTGCATTGGTTTCTTATGATAACCTAACCATTGTAAGTTTTGTCAAAAACAATTTGCCCACAAACATCCTCATATTTTACAATCTAAATTATATTTCCTACATACAATTAACACAACTTTTACAACAGTAGCCTAGGACCTGTATACGAGTTTGTGTGGGTTTCATTTAGGACAGGTAATCTCAACTGTTTTAGGGTAATATCACCATGGCGGTCAACATGGCATATGTGCCAAAACCTGAATCTGGGACGAAAGTCCTGAAAATGACCCCGCCCAAAAAGGCAGTGTCGACATAACTCTACCTTCAGAAAACGAAAAACAATAGCCTTTCTGAAGTGCTTATAGTGTTTAGAAGGGTTGCTTTTAGGGGTGGTTATTGGAAGGAAAAATTTGTCTATGTATAATATTTTACAAGAAAATGACCATGCACCATCCCAGGTAAATTGCTAATTATGCACAAAATAACTAATATGCCTGGCAGAAATTAAATTTTCTTATTTCCTAAAAAAATTATCATGGGGTGAAAAACTATGCTCAATTTAATATAATTATTGTGGATTTCATAAGGATTATAATACATTTTATTTCACTTACCCCCCCCCCCAAAACAAAAAAAACACACGATTTCAGCCATATTTTGCCATCTTGTTTGCTTTTTATTGCCATCTGGCAAATATCATCCAGTTGTTGTACTTTTACATAACCATAAATGGCTGAAGAAGATTTAAAAGGTTTCATCAACTTTTGAGACAGTGCAGTGTATTTTATTCTCGATATTGTGTGCTTCGATATTTCATGAAATATGGCGTCATTGCACTCACCGGTTCTCTGCCTGATAAATGCCATTTCTTCGTCTTCCTATGTATTTAGATTACAGTATCCTGGAGTAATTCATTGTAGAATGGTACCAATCGAAAAATTGAAAACACTAGTTGCACTTGAAAGGAGAAAATCTCCCATAACACTTGTTGGGCAACAATCCAAAAGAAAGTGGGGTGAATATGACGGGGTGAATATTTTCATGAAACGTTTGTTCACCACCACCAGCAACCTAACTAAATACACTATATTTATTGAATGTTTATGATTGATGATAAAAAATATGCAAATATTTATTGCTTTTATCATCAATCCTTATGAAATCCACAATAATTATATTAAATTGAGCATAGTTTTTCACCCCATGATAAATGTTTTAGGAAATAAGAAAATTTAATTTCTGCCAGGCATATTAGTTATTTTGTGCATAATTAGAAATTTAACTGGGATGGTGCATGGTGATGTTCTTGTAAAATATTATACTTAGACAAATTTTCCCTTCCAATGACCACCCCTAAAAGCAACCCTTCTAAACACTATAAGCACTTCGAAAGGCTATTCCTTTTCGGAAGTTAGAGCTATGTCAACTCTGCCGTTTCAGGGCGGGTTCATTTTCAGGACTTTCGTCCCGGATTCAGGTTTTGGCAGATATGCCATGTTGACCGCCATGGTTATTTTACCTTAAAACAGTTGAGATTACCTGTCCTAAATGAAACACACACAAACTCATATACAGGTCGTAGACTATTGCTGTTTGTGCTTTTTTTTGTGGATGTGTTTTCTAGTCGTTTGAGCCGTTTGACAGATTTGTTGAGTGCGAGTAAGGACCGTTCTGTGTATTTCATGTATAGTGTGTCCGTTTTATTAATAAGTTTTTGTGCTGTGTCATCATCACATCTCTTTTTAAGTTGGTTTATGTGGTGTTATAGCTTGTATTGTGTATCTTGTATGCAGTATTTATGGTAGTCAATGGTTGTATCTAATAGATCAAGGGAGGCATTCGAAAGGATATTCTCCCAGCAGTCTCTAAACGGTTTGTCTATACAGTACTTGCTTTTGTGGTGTGTCCTCAGGCCAGGAGGCAATGTATTTGTTTTCCTGTGTTCTTGTAAGTTTTCCAGATTTGTAAGTAGGTAGTTTTTTTGTCATATTTTCAGTCCATAAATTATTTTAAAAGATGTTAGTAGGTGTTTTGGTACGTCAATAAAGTCAATACAGTTTTGTGTATGGTTGTGCGGTGTTGTCATTGTTGTGAGATGGGTGTTGGTTAGTAGAATTGTTTTGGTGTGAGCTGGCATCATTGTTATTTGTCTCTTCGGTTATGTCCATGACTACCTCATCAGTGTTGGGTCTGTCCATAGCCCATTCAGTAATGTTTTGTTCAATACTAGGTTCATTTATATGTTTGTCAGTTTTTGGTGATTTGGTGTTTTGTTCATGTTCGTTTGTTGCTTGGTTTTCCATGTTGTACAGACAAAGTTTGTCTATTTCCAGAGTGTTGTTCATGTTCAAGTTCTCGTCATGGTTGTCAAAGTTGTCACCAGCCAAAAGGGGGGCCTCCACATCCATATTGATCATGTCAGGGATTAGGGTAGGGTTAAGAGGCAGGGTTCGTCACATGTTTTTTTATAAATACACCTTGTTTAACAAAGGACCAAAGAGTTTCAATATGTTTAGAATATGTAATGGTTAATAATGCTCATGGGGTTATACCAACGGCGTTGGGCAGGTTTCTGAAGACGAGTGAGTGTGTCTAAACACAGGTTATTGCTGTATTAGTATTTGAAAGGCCATTTTTGGCTAATTCTCGACACTTTCAAAAAGGGTTACTAAAGTTTAAATGCAGCTCTCTCGGTCAATATTGCACGAAAATGCACAGGGCGTATATCAAAATTTACGTTGGACAATACTGAATGCAATGCACATAGTTCACATGTAATAGCTCTTTTAGCTTTTAAGTTAAAATAAATCAAACAGGGCAACTTTTTTTTGTGCCGCCCGGTACATAAATTTTGAAATCTTAATGTAGACTAAAACTAATTATATCAAATATGAAACAAAGTTACATAAATATTTCAACACACTGTACATGGTTTTGATTACATATAAGGAGACTTTCATATAAGGTTTAGACCATGTTGAACAGATCTGTTAAACGTTTGCAATTCTGTACATTTTGCTCAGTAATTAGCATATTTAACACTTGATTTCTCCTCATTCTACTGTGCAAATGTAAATATAAGTAAGACATTAAAATATTCATTGTGTCATTTTAGTACTTATAACATTGCAATTTTCAAACAAGAATTTGCTTAGATGAAAACAATAGGCGTTTTTCATGAAGTCAAGTGTGGATAGATGCAATGCAGCACTGTACAACTTTTACAGGAAAAGTGGGAGCCGAGATGTTTATCCATGTTTGACATCGTTATGAAATAGGCACATGGGGGAGTTCATTAGAGAGTTTTAGATTTTAATACGAGTATGACTATGTATATAAGATTTGGATGCGCCATTGTCTTATGCCATAATGTACTGACACCTTATAAATCTCGTAGCTGTCGCCAAATTGACAACAGGATTTTACAAAGTCTTGTAGCGATAGAAGCATTTACTATGAGATTATGGTGTGTGTACGTAATATACGTAATGGCGTAAAAAGTTGGTAAGTATGTGCAAACCAGTGAACTCTATTATGATATCTTGGGCTTGATTTTTTGAAGCCAAGATGGCAGAAATTGAAGCTCGTCTTGTAAGTATGAAATCCAAAGCTCTCTAATTCCATCTACTGAGAAGTGATCCATCCAAGTTGTCCTCCAGATATAACAATGAAATAAGGTCATCAGACATAGGTACATATTCGTTTGTCAACTGGTTTAAGTATGGCATTCAAAATTGGTAAGCAAATTATTTTGAATGCTTTATTTATTTGGCTCAATACAGTTTTCTTAATAGAAAATTTGCAGTTTACACTATATTCATGAGAAAAACCACACCCATAGTCAACATAAAGTTGACTCAATCTTTTTCAAATAAGATAAATGTGATCATGTGATCGTTTTTGTTGTTTGCAGAATTTGCATACAGAATTTTGTAAAAGTGCGAACATAATTCATCATACCAAGAAAAATCATATTATGAAATAAAATTTGGGGTGACAGATTTAATTTTCAAGTTAAAATGCTTTAACGCAAAAATATACAGCACATGAACCATATTGAAATGAAATTGTTGCAATAGTAAAGGCAGTTGTGTAACTTTTGTGAAAACGTTTCCATCTTTAGGACAAACTGTATCAAGCTACCTAACTCTTTCTCGACAAGTGGTTTCGCATTACATTACAATTAAATTTTTCTAAAGTAAATATCTCGGCGAGTATTTACCCCCCTTTAAAACAAAACCCACCATTTTAATCCTCACAAAATAACCTTTCGAAGGGGGGATGAAGTGCCGTCAAAACATTACACAAACTTTGACAATCATATATTTTTTACTCACCGCTTCGCCAAACATTCAAATGAGAAAAAGTTGAATATATTCTAAAGTTTTCGTCATTTTCTGAAAGGATATATGTGTAAAATACTCTTTGTATTCAAGCGCTTTCGTGTAGAAAGTTTGATATGAATACGCTGACTAGAAATATTTATTTTGAATTTTTCAAGGTATCGGGTTTTCCTCACACACTCTTGTATTACATAATACTTGGCCAATAAGGAGCTCCTTTAGCCAGGATGACGTCAAACGCGCACGTATAGGTGCACTTTGACCTGTAGAATCCATTTCTGGCATTTGCAGAGTCACACAATACAAACATCGCATTGTTTCGACATTTTAAGTCATGTTTCCGGTTGGGATTTTCAAACTCGGACCAGAAATGTAAATCTGATGATAAGTAGTTCGAATTTAAAGACAGAAGGTTGAAAATATCACTGTATACAGTGTTTTAAAGACTTAATCAAACAAGAGTATCAAAATGAGCATACGTCTCAATGGGCCGAAAGGTATGTTTATGTTTATAATTTGTTAGTAATATTGCATAATTTGATCATATACGAGCTCGTTTGACTTTCAAAGCTCATAAATTGCTATGTTGCCATTCACTAAACCTATCAATAGAAATGAGGAGATATCGTTACGCTGAATCCAATGGTGGAATTTTGGTCCACGTAGCATTTACCGAACTGAAGATATGAACCGCAAAGTGAGTAAATCACCTACAGGTGTACTTTTATTCGACTTCACCATGAATTTTAGAAAGATTTTGATGCCTGTTTGCTTTGTAACAGCTACTGGTATTCGCATTTCGCCTGATTGCCATTCAATGGTGATGACTCTTTGGCATAGCACAAATTGACGACTCTTTTGCATAGCACACATAATTTTCTTGAATTTAGCAGCCCAGACAAATGTTTACTCATTGCTGAAGTAATGTTTTACTACATCAAGATTTGCATCCAATATCTCATCAGGTAGGTTGTGAAGTCTGAGGTCTGCCACCTCAAGAGGAATATAAGGATCTATCATCCGAGGGTTGTGTACCAGCATTGTTAAGATTTTGTGATCTCCTGCAAGTGAGTACAAGAGAACAATTACAGTATAAGCAGGTTTCACTAATTTCAAAATAATCCTCAGAGTTATGGAAAACCAATTTCATATGAAACTGACACAGTTTGCTGGGAGAATTGAATATTTTGATCGTCATGTGCAGTTTAAAACTTTATACAGTAGGTTCAAATATCTCCAGCCTTATACTTATTACTTAGTTAGTTCCCTATATATTCCTTACTTAGTTCCAGTGATGTTTTCCAGGGGGAATGCTGTCCCCCCAACCTTTTTTGCCAGGGGAACGGCATCCCCCTACCAAAATCAAACATGGGGGAACAACGTTCCCCCTGGCAGGGATTAAATATGAGTGAAATTCAGTGAACGCCATTTGACACCGTCCAAATCATTTTGGCTATCACTTGTACAGATGAACGTTTTACTAATACGTGATATTTTTTACAATAATTGCTCCCCAGTCAGCTCTCCCTAATTGTCTCATTTTGTGCCTTCAACGACATTAACTCTGTGTACACCTTTAACCACGCTCTCAAGTTTGTGCACATCATAATTACAATGCCCTAATATCTTGTGCCATTCCATTAGGGACGATGCGTTATTTTGAGAACATGATATACTATTTAAGTAATATAATTTACCTACCTGTTCGATACCAAACACTATTCCCTCGGGGTCCCTGTACTCTCTAACTTGCCTATCTAAGCTGACAGCAGCCGCCCCTCTCTATTGCAGCAGGAATGGAGAAAATATTTTGCTGATAAGACGGAATATACAGCGCGTTACTAAGCATTACATCTTGTAAATTACCATTAATATTGTACAATTTAACTTTAGTGTTACCTTTACCTAAAACAACATTAGCTTTACTTCTGTCAGCTAACTATTACATGATTACTTGGGTCGAACTTCTCATCAAAATTTACAAATTTAGATCTATCATTAATTATATGACTTGTTGCCCCTGTATCTACTAGTAGATTTGAGGTCTTACCTCCATTAGAATTATTTTCCTTAAGTGTAAATTCAAATGAATGTATTTTAGCGTTCTCTTCGCCGGTTTCAGCGGCCATCTTTGCACCGTCTCTTCTTGCTCTGCAATCCTTGGTATTGTGTGTGTTGCTCTTGCTGCACCATTTTTCAGCTTTCATCCAGCAATCGGAACTTTAATATACTTTCTTGTCACACGTAAAACACTTTCCTTCAAATTTCTTCTTCACATACATTACGTTGTCGCCATTCTCCGCTGGTCTGCAGCAATTCTCGTTCTCTTCATGGTTATGCAATGCGATTTTGAAGTCGCTAAAATTCATCTGGTTTTCTCGTTGAATAACCAACATAGAAAATTTTTATACGCGCTTGGTAGACCCTTGAGTACCATGGCAATCAGAAGTCCATCACTGATTACTTCCTTGGCAGCCTTCAATGCGGTCGAGGCAGTTTCTGCCCATAAGATGTAGTCTGTAAATGTCTCATTTTCTGCCTTCTTCAGCAATGTTAACTCTGTGTACACCGAGATTATTCTGGCCTTTCTCTTGCCTTGCTAATGTTCTCTCAGAATCGTCAGGGCTTTCCTTCCATTGTCTTTTGCCTCTCGTATGACCAGGGCCAAGCTCCTGTCTAGATATTGCACTAATTCGGCAAAGGCATTTGCATTCCTTGCCTCATCTAGCTCTCCTTCGCTACTGCTAGGAATGAATATATTATAGTTTTTGGAGTCGCATACATACCAAAAACTTTACATCAAAAATCAAGCCTCTTCTGGGCCCACAACCTGTTGGGTTTTGTACCCGTTGCCATTGCTCTTTCTTGAATACAAATCACCACATACAACTTTGGAGTTTTACAAAAGAATGAATTTAATAATAAAAATAGGTACGCGACGCATACATGTATCTGCGAAAAAAGTTGATTCACATTTTGTATTTTCTTGAAAGGAACTGAATAATGAAGATGACATGGGACAATTGAAATATTTCATCACTTATTATAATTATAATAGCAAGTAGGAAATAAGTCAAACAAGCAGGGGCAACTCCTCCCACCCCCGCCGAGGAAATGTAACTAATTTTGTAATATGATTATGATTGTAACAGATAATTATGCAGTCAGAAAATAAAAATTTCATGCACACAATATTGCACAAGCATAAAATAAAATATTTTAAAATTTATATCACAAGTATATATTATATAGTATATAATATAGACTGTACAGTTTCTGAAGGTTTTCAATTAAAAATAGATGTTTAATTAATGTCAGATTCTAGTATTGAATCTGTGCGAGTATTGATCTGGTTTTCATAGTGAATAAAACAGCTGCTATAAATTCCACTTGCAGTGGTGTTTCCATAACTGTAACAAAGGTTTCCTTAGGTCAACTAAGTTGTGATGTCACAGAGATAGCTTGACAATCTTCTTTATTATCCATATAATGTCAATATACAACAGATTTTAGATGCCATATAGTCAGGATAGCAGATGTTGTCACTTGTCAATCCATACACATAGAATTTTCAAAACTTTATTGTAATCATATGAAGCAAAAGTTCTGTCACTTGTACACTTGCCAATGTTAACTGTTGAGTAACATACACAAACTATTCGAGGAACATGGAAGACCACTGATCAGTAGAGAATGTTTTGAAGGTCACAAGTGAAGTGTATAATTCCATTCCAGTCCTGTGCACAGTTAATGATATATAGCACACTGTTCAGTATAATTTTAACACAGGATATCCACACAAAAACAATTTGTGTTTTGGGAGAAAATCTGTTTGAGTACAAGTTTGGTTTTGTACATTGTATGCCATTGATCAGATCCATCCATATGATTATTGTAGTTGTTAAGTTATTTTCGTATAGCCATATATACTAATGAATTTTGGTGAGATTGTCTTGCAAGTGGGTTGTTCTGATGGAATTATCCAACAAATATATCCAGTACATTTATTGGTCATTGTTGTATTAATCTCTATAAACAAAAACATTTATGTTAGAAAGCAAAATGGTGGGTGGAGGGTGGGTGGGAGGGGGGGGGGGTGTAAAAAAAACTTGCTTACCTGGTGATTCTGTTATTAGCATTTGAAAATTAGTAAATTTTGTTTAACTCTAATGTGTATAAAACCAAAATGTGTAAGTATTTAAGTGAATTGTGTCCAGTGACTCTTGTCCCAATATAGAAATATTTCTATCATAACATTGCTAAGTTTGCTTTAATGAAAACAATTAATTAAGGCACAAACTGCTTTATGATCTGAGAAATAAGTTTCTAAAATGTGTGAACTAACTTGCGACTCTGGTAGATTTGTATAAATATGATCTATTAATGTCCGATTGTCTGTAGTGACATTAGACACCAATTGCATATAGTTATGATCATTGATAAAAAATCTATCTAAAGGCCTTCTATTGGCTTCATCCAACCAATTGATATTAAAATCACCTATGAAAATGTTAAATTGAGAAGTACAAAACCTCGAAACTTCATCTAATGCTGCACACAATTGTTGCACTGGAATTCTGGGTGATCGATATATACCAATTATAGTAACATGTGGAAGAATCATTGCTTTCATAATGGTTATTTCAATGCCATTGATATTATAACAACATGGATATCCAGGTAAGAATTCAACTCTGCTAAACACTGCCATGCCACCAAAGGGTCTGGTAGTCAACAGGGTGTAACCGTCAATATACATACTGGCATTATCCGAGCACATACATCGAGTTTCAGAAAAAATATTTATGTCTGTATTAGCAAAATTAAAATCATGCCAAATATCATCAATGTGTTTATGCAACAACTGTGCATTTAGATAGCACAGTTTAAATGAGACTTGGTCTGTCTTGTAAATAGGACTGACACTTAGTTTTAGTACACGTTCATTTCTCAAATGTTCCATTTCAGCTGCTACATGAGGATTGACAGCTATTTTATCTTCACATGGGTCAGTGATAAATAAACCTTCAATTGCTGTTACCCTGCTCAAACCAACATAATGTATATTCTAGTGTTGAAATTTACAACAATTTTTTGTTTAGTGTCACCTTGTGAACGGTGAATCGTCTTAGCCTCAGCGGGTCTAAGTGGAAACTGTTTTCTAACAACTTGTGCAGTGTGGTTTCTACCCACAACAAACTGAGTTGTGATTGGCTTTATTGGAGTCCATGTGGACTCAATAACTTGGACATAAAGATGTCTATTTTCATGTCTGGTCTTCTCTCCAACATCTGAATGGTCAAATTGGACCCATATTATACCGGAAGGTTTATCTATTTGATTCAATTGTATCTTTTTAACAACATTACCAGCACCATTAGTCATGCCATCATCAGTACATACATTTAATGCTATCTCAGTTCTTTCCCCCACTGACAATTGAAGGTTTGAAGCAATTTGCTTAGTTTTCCTACGATCATTTGGTATTTGACTCAAAATTTATCTAGAAGTTGAGCAGAGTTAGCTCCTATAACACTGTCTATTGCTTTGATTGAGAGCGTTTCGCCAGTTCGTAGTTACTAAAACATGGAACGACCCACAACGACCCCACAACGACCCACAATGATCCACAACGACCCACGACGACCAAAAAACCAGCCACAACGATCCACAAGTTCGTTGTGGGATCGTTGTGGGGTCGTTCCATGTTTTAGTAACTACGCGTTGCAGGGTCGTTGTGGGTCGTAGTGGGTCATTGCGGGGTCGTAGCGGGGTCGTTGTGGATCGTTGTGGGTCGTTCCATGTTTTAGTAACTACGTTCACCAGTTGCTGCATTATGCACTCTTTCATTCACTCACTCATTTCATTATTTTCTTTTATTAATCTTTCTTTTAGTTTCAAAATATCATTCTTAGTATGTTTTCCTTCCCTAAGTCTATTTAATATTTCAGCAAACACTTTGCTCTCCCGTTGGCACATAATTTCTTCCAACTCAAACATATTGAAGTTATCTTGCCATTTATTAGGAGTAGGAACTGCATATTCTGAATTGTCTAGATTCTTCCCTTGTAACAAAAGGCCAACCTATAGGTTCCTATAGGAAACCTATAGGTTTTTATAGGCAATTGGAACGTTTTCTATAGGTGACCTATAGGGATGCCCCTATAAGCCTATAGAGCTCTATAGATGCCTAAAGGCTTCTATAGAGAATTGAACATTTCCTATAGGCACCTATAGACTTTTTTCGTAAGGGTTAAATATATACCTGTCCATTACAGGTTCCAGCTGAAATAAATCACCGATAACAACCATGCTTACACCAGCAAAATCTTCTTTACTTCCTTAATATCTTTCAGTGTATTATTTATTTGAACATTGAACTACCAACCATTGAGATCTCATCCAAAAATATTAGTTTTAAACCACCAAGTTGACACCATAAGGTGTTTAACCTGCTTGAATCAAGATGTTTGTAATTCTTTAAAGATTGACATGCAGGTATTGAAAGTGCACTATCTATTGTGTTACCTTTGATATTGTAAGCTGCTTTACCAGTTGGTGCAAGCATTAATATTTTCACTTGGTGGAAATCATCACCCGCTCTATTATTATAATACTTTAATGCTGCTTGATAAAGACACTTAGTGACATGTGACTTGCCAACTCCAGCCCCTCCACTAAGAAAACAGTAGAATGGATTGTCAGAAGTTTTAATAAGATGTAAAACATGGAAGAAAAATTCTTTTTGTTCTCTGTTTAATTTTTGTACCATTCCTCTGTAAACATCCTGTTCTTCGTGTAATATCAGCTGCTCAGTATTAGATGCAGCTGAAGGAATTACAAGATCACCAGATAGGTCATAGGTTTCATTGAATTCTGGATGAAGTTCTTGTGCATCTTCATCTTGATGCTCAATGTTTTGTGTTCCTGGGGCAATCAGGTCATAGTTTTCATCACTATCTTCCACATTATTAAGCTGGTCTTGAGTCACATTCAGGTCTTCACTGCACATAGCATAACATTTCATTTGCTCATCTATTGTATTTTTAACTTGAAAATAGTGTTCTTGGTAAGAAGCACAATTTCCTAATAAATTGGTTATTTCATCCCTCTATCAAGTGAATAACATGATTTGTTCACGGTAATGCTTTTCAGAGTCAACTTCCTTGTTAAAACAGACACTTCGAATAATTCTGGCTTTAGATCTTTTTTATTCTTTTGTTCGCTTTCTTCCTCATTATTATCATCATTATCACTCAAGTTTGTCTCAAGTGGATAATTATCAATATCTAATTCACATGATGCATGGTTTGATATATGGCTTACCAGTGGAGTCATACCATGCAGCCCAATCTGCAAGGGACACATTTTCAAGTTTGGCTGGTCGTTTTGTGTAACGCTTTATTAGACCAGATGCATAAATTTCATCAGAATCATCTTCCAAATCATTAATTTCTTGCAATGGTTTTAGTAACTGAACTCTATCCTCAGGGGGGTGAAGTATTTATAAATACTACTTGACAAGAAGATTTACTCATTGGAAGTTGAAGTACTACTATATAGACTGCTTCTTGTGCACTTATTTCAACATTGTTCAAAAACCTATTTCCAATATCTCTCACTTGTTGTTTAATACTGGAGTTTCCCTTTTTGCTTCTTCACAAGCTGTTCTCAATAGCTCACTCATGCCTTTTTGAGCCTTGTATATATATATAATACAATGTATATTGCACATGCATATACATCTAGTACAAACTGAATATCCATATTTGCACGCCATGCACTGAGACATGCAGCATTATAATTATTGATCCTTAGTTCGTTCGGTTTCCTTTTTAAGAATATAGTTGGTGTCTTGAGACTAGATTGAACAGCTAGCAAATAGTTTTGTTCTGTCAGTTTAAGATTTACAAGCAACTGGTCAAATGTAATGTCCTCACCCTCTTTCATGTCATTCAGATGTTTCTTTATAAATTTCCAAGTATCTTTATGTTGATCAACTTCATTATCATCCATATCCCAGACTGGAGAGTTTGCAAATTACGCGACCAAGATCAAAATTTTCCGGATTTTTGCGCGCCTAGTTTTCGAATCTGCGCGTTTGGTATCTGAATTAGCACGTGCGGTTTTAATTCATAGTTTTCAGTTTTCACCAAACGTGACAAAATAAAATTGTTTATTACAGTAGTTCATGTTCTATGTTAGTTTATTTGCTTACGAAATTACGGAAATTTAAATCATCACATTCACCTACACCACCATACGAAATGCTCACCAACATTCGTTGCTTGCCAGAGCCTTGTTTAAGAATTTGTCCGTGGGGAGAAAGCGATTTACAAAAAGGGACCACATTATTGTATGTAATAGTAGGGAGGCCTGGGGATTCTCCCCCAGAAAATTTTTGAATTTTTCCACCCCTAGGACTGCATTTGGTGCATTTTCAGAACAGATTTTTGGATGCACAGCGTTACATTATATACAGTACTTTAGATATATTCTTATAGAATCTTCAGTTACAACTCAGTCACTAACTTGTTTTGCCAATTAGTCTATCCTTCCAACAACTCAAATCTATAGGTCTGGCCCTCTGGGATATGCTATCCAATGAGGTACTGGCTTAAAATCTAATGTATTCAGCTAGGACACAATGTTTAGCATTTTTATAGACACTGAATTATTTGAAGATAAAAGACAGGACATAAGATTCACAAAGCAAATTTCAGTTACTAGAGTATCAAATATATATCCTTTCCAAATTCCATTTTTTGTTCAATGTTTTGCTGATATTTTCATAGAGAAAAGAGACTTTGACTGGGGACCAAAATGGTTGAATGGTGGTGGGGGAGTCATTGGGGCTGGGGGGTTTTGGCTCCCAAGTTATATAGTTAAAAAGGGCCCTGTTAATGGTTGCAAACACTCCAAACAGTACTATATATTGCTAGTCTTGTCTATAACATATTCATGCACTATACATCTATATGTCTATTCCACTAATTATCTCAAATTTGTACTTGCAGTACCTCATGGTCCATTTACATTATCTTACTGAATTACTAATATGCGATCATATATATATATATATAGTCATATATATATGGAAGGAGGCACTGAGGCACCTAATCGATGTTTGTTTAACTATTGAATAAAGACTGTTAAATTATTAACTGATTTGTCAAGTACCCTGAAACGACTATATAAAAGCTGCAACATGATTTGTTGGGTCAGCAACCAGGTGATGGTAAGGACGGTCATTTGGTTGTTAAATGTCTTTCAACAGCAACCAGGTGGTAGCAAGGAAGATATTTCAGTTATTAAATGTGTATCAACAGAACCAGGTGGTGGCTAGGAAGGTATTTCAGTTATATTATATATTAAAGATAGGTAATCGGACCTCTACAGGCGTTTGGGATTTTGCGTTGTGCAACTTTCTTGTAAGCCTTATTTAGTTATTGGTTTCTAAGATCTTCACAGGGTCTGGAAAGTATACTTGACCTTACTGTGAAATATTGTATAGCAGGTACATGCATGGACAGCATGGTTATAGTGTGTGCAGTGTTTTGTGTATTTTCTTTGTCAGTCCATGTCATCTAAAATGATTCCTTAATGATAGGAATAATTTGATGATGTACATTACTCACATGATCTTGCCAGGAGACTGGAGACCATCCCGTGAAGTGCAGTACGCATGTGATAACGAACTCACTCTGTCACGCAAACCGCTATGTCCTACCTAAGATATCTATCACCAGTCCCAGAAATGCAAGTATAAGACCTCTATATGTGGGTATCATTAGGTTAATGGATTTCCTAGATGTTCAGTGTCTGCGAGGAAGAACAACACTGTAAAGTATTGTGTAATAGGTAAGGTATGTTATATATATTTTTTTTTATTTAATATATTTGCCCAAATCAGTTTATAAAATTAACAATTTAAATAGAAAATATTTACAATAGTAGGGCTAGGAACCTTCTAGAAACCATAAGGCTTTTGTTTAAGGTCCCTAGTTACAATTCAAATAATATAATATTAAAAGTTAATACCAGTCCAATTGTTTTCAAAGGAATTACGGTGATATATTTACAATAAGGAAAGTGCATAAAAGATATATCAGACTATAACAATTATTTGGCTTTTCACTTTGTGCCAAGAATTCTACTTATTTAAATTTGACAGAAGAAAATATATTTTCATTGTAGATTTAAATATTGGAAGAGATCTAATTTGCTTATATTGCGTCGGAAGATTATTCCACACATCGATGCCGTTATTACCGAGCGTGTGTTTTTTATAATTTGTTCTAGTACAATTTTTGTGAAGCAATGATGCGTTTCTTGTGTTGTAATTATGGATTTCTTTGTTAGTTAAAAAATATTTATCAAAAATTTCTGGAAGATTTTGTAGATGAAAATATCGGAACATAAATAGACTTGTTAAGAAATCATTCAATTTATACAAGTTTAGTATTTTAAGGTCATTAAAAATTGGTTCAGTATGGTCAAAATAGGATTTGAAGGTCATTAATCTTACTATCTTTTTCTGGATATTTACTAATTTTTGAATGTGGGATTTGTAAGCGTTACCCCAAACTAAATTACAGTATATAAGATATGGATAGACCAATGCGTAATAGATCAGTTTTAAGGAATTTAGGTTTGTAAAATGTCGTATTCTGGATATAATAGCTGTACATTTGATAATTTTTTTTGAAATAAGATCTATATGATCGCACCATGATAAAAATTCATCTATAACAATCCCTAAAAACGTAGTTTTTTTTACTTGTTTTATAGTTTCGCTATTTATAGAAATTCTTAAATCACATTTAGGTTTCTTATTTTTTGATCTGAAAAGGATCAGCTTGGTTTTCGCAGTGTTTATAGATAATTTATTAACATTCAACCAATCTGTAATTTTGTTCATTTCAACTTGAATAGTTTCGTTTAAAGTTTTGAGACAAACATCGCTATACAGTATGTTAGTGTCATCGGCAAATAATATAATTGAAACCAATTTACTGCAATATTGAATATCATTTATGTATAAGAGAAATAATACAGGACCTAAAACTGATCCTTGTGGCACACCGCTTGTGATAGTCATTTCTTCAGATTGTACTCCGTTATATTTTACATATTGCTTTCTATTATATAGATAATTTTCAAACCATTTTTTTGCTGTTCCTCGTATACCATAATGTTCCAATTTTCTTATCAGAATCTTTTGATTAATTGTGTCAAACGCTTTTGACAAATCAAGGAAAATACCAACAGTGAACTTCCCTTCTTCTATTGCTTTAGTTATTTTATCAACAAAATCAAGTACAGCAAGTTCTGTTGACCTGTTGCGTCTGAAACCATACTGATGTTTTGATAATATCTTGTTCTTATCAATAAAATTTATTAGTCTCTTTACCATAAGCTTTTCCAGTAGTTTAGAAAAACAAGTAAGAACTGATATAGGTCGGTAATTTTCAAATCTATTTTCTTCATTGCCTTTAAAAATTGGCGTAACTAATGCGATTTTTAAATTATCTGGAATAATTCCTGATGAAAACGATAAGTTAAAAATATGTGTTAATGGCTTAGACATTTCCTTAGCAGTTATTTTTGTGATGTTAGCATTAATAAATTTTGTTCAACTTCATATTTTCAAGTTCTAATTCAAGTTCATATTCCGTAATCGCATTTAGAAAAAAGTTTGACTGATAACCACCAGAAAGATATTTTTCAAAACTCTCATTTTCATTGTGTTTGATTTTGTTTGCTAGAGTAGGACCTATGTTAATAAAGTAGTCATTGAATTTGCTAGCTATTTCATTCGGGTCTTCAATTATATTTGATGAACAACTTTCTACAAACGTTTTTGATACTTTTATATTTTTAGATGGTTTATTTAGTAGTTCATTTAGCGTTTTCCACATCATTTTTGAATTTTTCTTGTATTTAATTAACTGTTCTTCATAATAAATGTTCTTTGCAATTTTTATGATATGGTTTAGTTTATTTTTATATTTTGTGTATTTTTGCCTATTTTTATTATTTGGATTTTTAAGAAGGGTTTTGTATAATTTATTTTTATTTCAACTGACTTTAATATACATCTAGTCATCCATGGACTCTTTATTTTATTTATTTTTGTTTTGTTTTCTTTTCTTTTAAGTGGAAAATGTGCCTCATATACACCCATAAATAATTTCAAAAACTCATTATAAGCCTTTTCAGGGTCATTAGATTCGTTTAATACTTCATTCCAGGAAATATTTTTAACTGCGTCTTTGAACGACTCTATGTTAGCTTTATTATATTCTCTTTGATAGGTTACTGTAGTCTCATTTGTGTTTCTGTTTTTATCCAATATAATTGAATTAAAAATATGTACAATAGGTAAATGGTCTGAAATATCGCTAAAAACAACACCATTTACACTATCATTAAGTTTTTCTAAATTATTTGTGAAAATATTATCAATTAGCGTTGCAGTGTCATCAGTTATTCGTGTTGCTTTAGTGATTAATGGAAAAAAGGACGATGTGAATAATTGTTCGGCAAATTGACCAGCGTAATCACAGGGAAACGACAAAACGCGGACCCCAGGTCCATGGACTACCTTCGTGGACCTGGTCCATGGACTACACTCGTGGACCACGGACCACTCCCGTGGACCACTCCCGTGGACCACTCTCGTGGACCACTTGCGAAATTTCGCCTACCGAACAATAGACCAAGCACTATTATTCCGAGTTTAGGGAGCCGAGATTGGCGGGAACTATTTCATTATTCATTTCCATTATTTATTACACAATCAATTCAGTTTTGGTTGATGAAAAGTGAATACTTAAAGTCTGTAAAAATGCTGAAAAAATGTAGTCAGGGTTCCATTAAAAAATATAGGAATACTGTGGAGAATCTGGGGGGGGGGGGGGGTGGTCAAAGGATTTTACTGAATTATTCGAATTTTACTGTAAAAAAATCACTTGAACTGTAGAAGTCGTAAGTTCCAATGACCTTTCAATGCCTGAAGGTCCTCTCCCAAAAATATTAATTTTTGAAGCTCGATTACTGCTTTTCTTGCATTTCCTGTAGCGATCGAGAAAAAAAAAACTACCAATTTTAAGGGCATATATTCGGAAACATTGCATTAAAGTCGTAATTGCACGCTTATATTTTAGAACGGTCATGTAGTGAATCGATTTAGAACTTCACATTTTGTGTAAAGTTTCCACAATGATAATAATGACTGAACTCGACTCGAGCACATTTTTGCATGCACAGTCAAGAATTCAAACCCCAAAAATCTGGTGTCTCGCAAGTGGTCCACGAGAGTGGTCCACGAGAGTGGTCCACGAGAGTGGTCCACGAGAGTGGTCCACGAGAGTGGTCCACGAGAGTGGTCCACGGACCAGGTCCACGAAGGTAGTCCACGGACCTGGGGTCCTCGTTTTGTCGTTT